CTCGTGAATCAAATTTAATTCCAATTTTTTATTTAGGGTGATAAAGTCAAAATCGATTGTAGGTTTATTTATAACAATTGGGGCATAGTTCATTTATCCATTTTTGTTGTTAATTAAGATTTTTTATTAAAGATGTTGGAACTTTCAGGTCAGACGGGAAACAGTTTGATGCAAATAAAGGATTCGAGTGCAAAATTGGTGTCGGTCATGTGATTAAAGGTATGCTAAGATCTTACAAGTTATTTAACTTGATTGTTAAATTATTAATTTGGGTTGTCACAATATAGGTTGGGATGAAGGTGTTGTGCAGCTCAGTGTTGGAGAAAAAGCTAAACTCATCATCACTTCAGATTATGCATACGGTAGTGAAGGCTACCCATTAAATGTCCCCAAAACCAAAAAAATTGTAAGCATTATAATATTGATCTCGTCGAACTTTACTCTTTTAATTTATAAATTAATCTCTTATTTATTTAATTAGATCCCACCTAATGCAGATCTAGTTTTGTAAGTAGAAGTAGATGATATCTAAGCTTATTTATTATGGTTGTCAAATTTTAAATATTAAATTCTAAATTCTTTTTTTTTCTCTCTTTTTTCTAATCAAATAGTGTGGTTGAACTTCTCAAGATCTACTAAATAATTTTTTTTTTTTTTATTTATTTCTTTTATTCTTTGATATGATGTTTACGTTGATACGATTATATTTCCTGATTTTAACAAATAAAATTAACATGAAATAAATAAAATTATTCAATTTCCATTACTTTTATTACTTATAATAATAATAAAAAAAAAAAAAAAAAAAAATCACATAATGTATATATATATATTTATTTATATATATTTCAATTACAACAAAAAAAAAAAAAAAATATCAAATTCATTGATATCTTTGATTTATTTTAACTCCTAATATTGTTTAGCTTGCACTTTTTTTTGAAGTTTCATAATCTGCAACCTCAAATCCACTTTCTTTCCAATCATCATATCCACCTGCTAAACTTTTGACATTTTCTTTTTTATATCCTAATCTAAGTAAACTTTCTGCTGCCAGAACACTAAATAAATCAAAAAAATAATAATTAGTAAATACCCCTATTTTAATCATTCAAAAAAAAATAAAAAAAGAGCATCCCCTCATTACCTTCTGAAACCACCAGCGCAATAGACAATAATATCTCTTCCATTTTCTAAATCATTAACTTCTTCAACACTTATCACCTTTCTTTCGACATCTCTCTCCAACACACCACGTGGTAAAGGAATGGCTGATGGTATGATCCCTCTTAATTGTTCATCTTTTTCTCGAATATCAATAATGATTGGAGGTTGTGATGAAGGTGTTGTGGATAAATTAGAAGAGGAAGTAAGTGAGGCGTGAAGCTCTTGTGGTGTTATTTCGGAAATTGGGTATGATTCTTTGACTTTTTTAGCTAAATCGGAAAACCTGCTTAATACAATAAATGACTTGAGAAGAAATTTTTAATTTTAAAATTATGTAGGTGAGATTGTTGTAAATATTCACTTTTTTTTTAGTTTACCTGAGAAAATTGACGAGTTTGATAGTTGAATAAATTTGAAGTACTTATATGTGATCTGGCGAATTTTGTGTGCTATAATTTTATATATATATGTAAGGTCATTTATTATAAAGAAAAATCGAGAATAATTAAAAAGGAGAAAAAAATCTATACCTTTAAAATACCAAACATTTTTTTTCTCTCTTTTTTTTTGGTAAAAAAGTTCTGATTTTATATTACTAAGCCACATGTGTCGCGATCGCTGATCGTTAAATTACGTTAGCATAAAGAAAAGAATGCCGAAAAGCTTGTGCTATGTTACTTGTCTTTTTTTGTAGATAGTTCAACTTTTTTTGACGATCATACTAGCCAAGAATTTCAGTTTATGGTTAGAGCGATATCTAAATATGGTTTATACCTTTTCGACGTTTTTATATATATTCCTTAATGCTTTATGTTTAATTATTAGTGCTTGATTATTGCTTTATGCTTTATGCTTGCGATCAGCTTTTTAGTGATTTTTCTTCAAGTGACTAGTCACTTATTTTTGGTTACAGGAAAAAAAAAGAAAGACTAAAATATTTTTAGTAATAAAATCGTGACTTTTTTTTTCGAATTCGGTGCGGTGATATTTGTTTCAGAACAAGAAAGGTTTCAAATCACTTTATTGACTATAATAAATATCAAAGTGGTTTTTTTTTTTAGTATTGTATCATATTTTTGGGGTGTTGAAATCTTTTTAAGGAAAATATGAAATTGGGTAGTTTCTCGCCATTCGAGCAATTCAATTTAATTTACTTTTTGGTAATTAATAATTGGTTTGGTTTCTTCGTTTAGTTTAGCGTAATTTAGCAAAATTTAATATAATAATGAAATTCATAGTGTATTTTTTTATGTAATTATGAGAACTTGGTAAAATGAAAAACGTTTCTATTGTTCGCGATCAAATTTAATTGTTTTGTGAAATACAGTAATAATGACATCATGATAATGGTTAATTAAAAGTGCTAAACATTTCTTTGATTACCTTTTTTAGTTATATAAATATTAATCAAATAATAAAAATGTAGTTATTTATCCACTTTTTTTTTTTTAATTAAAAACAGTTAAAAAAAAAAAAAAAAAAATAATAATTAATAAAGAATTATTTATTATTAGCATAAATAAAAGTTCGTAATTGTATAAAAACAATAATCACTAAAAAAATAACAAAATGATTAGTAATTAAAAAAAAAAATAAAAAATAAAAAAAATAGTAATTAACAAAGAATTGTTTATTATTAGTATAAAAAGAAAAGTTTGTGAAAAAGTATTTAAATGAGGATCTTTTTGTCTAAAAACATATTACTAAACAAATAACAAATAATTATTAATTAAAAAAAATACAAAAAGAAAAAAATGTCAGATTGTTTATCCTTATATTTTAATTAATTTAAAAAAAGATGAATCCTAACAAATAATTATATAAATAGTTCTGATTTGATAAAAACTAAGTACCTTCCTTTCTTTTTCTAAATAAACGATCATTTGAAAAGAAAAGAAAAAAGGAAAAGATATCATATCTATGAAAAATCTTATTGATTTATTTGATCCACTCAATTAATAAAAAAGATAGCATAAATTATATAATCAGAGAAGCTATCATAATTGCTAAAAAAGAAGATAATATTACAATAGACCTAAAAGTAACCAGTTTCATTCCTTAAAGCTTAGCTGTATCTAAATAAATCCTATTATATAATTCAGAAAGTATCTTGGTAATCAGAAAATTATAACAACAATTGAATACACTTATCAAACTTCTTAGCTATATCTATATTTATCCTAATACTAAAAAAGAAATAAAAGGTTTACTTACTCATAAAAAAGCAAACTATCATTTATTTAGTTAAGCAGAAAGTTAAAAAGAATTACAAACTCTCAACAATCATCTATTTGACCTATATAAAACAGAAATAATCTATTAGAAATCAGAAGAAACTTATTAGATTTTTTTAAAGATTTCTATTAGTATATAGCATAATGGATTTAAATATAATTAGTTGATTTTCAAGATGATCATCATATAGTAAATTCCTATTAAAATTGATGATCATCTAATTTTAAATAGATTGGCAGCTAAGAATATAAATTAGTAAATATTGTGACCAAAAAAACTCAAAAGTATATCTTTTCTTTTATAAACTATTAAAATAATTTGATAAATAGCAAGGTAATTCAGAAACTAGCTAATAAACATTTATTTTTTTCTTATATTATTTATTACTAGAAAAAAGAATATAAAGCAAGATATTTACATAAAAAACTCGCTATGAAGATCTAGTTTTTTTTATTAAAAAAAGAATAAAAAAAGTCTTGATAATTTGATTTGAAAGGTCA